TATTGCTCACACATCCACATTTACATTACTGATGTTACTGACTGACACACTTCACATTTGTATTTATTACCTCAGTTGTTTAAGTTACTATAATAAATTCACAAATTTCTTACCATCTATTGTGTCCTCCGTATTTGTCATGGCCTAGGAGCCGGGTTAAGACACTGTAAACTAAAATATATGACTATACTGTGATGAAACAAATCACCCTGAACTTTGTAAATGGTTAATGCTGATCGAGTTGACTGTTGTGTTAAAAGTGTTCACGACCTCTAATCAGAGGAGGGCAGCCCACCTCTATGAAAGAAAGAGTCTATGAAACCGCTGCATTCATTTTTAAATGTATACTAATCGAGACACAAAAAATTCACAGGCATTTATGCTAGTTTGTGCTTACCCTCTACTTAATATTTTTGTATTTTTATGCAATGGTTTGGACTGCTGTAGAACCACCAGACTACAATCTTTACCTTGATCTCACACACTAGCAGTTCCCACAGACAGACATACCAGACAATTAAAGCTACAACAAAGATACCAAACAGAAAAGTTGACAAATGGCCATGAATGTCCTTTTAATGACTGTAAAAGCTCCAGCAGACTCTTTGTGTTTCTACCGCGGACACAGAGAGACTGACAGCAGCTCCTCATTAGCCCTGACTACCAGCTCGCTGTTCCTGCAACCCTGCTGTGGACAGTCTGTCAATCACTCTAGTCAGTGATGAAGCCACCGCCCCTAAAGTCACTGCCCTTTGCAGGTTTCTAATGCATTTTTTAAATTTGCTGAGAGGAAGGGAGATAGCAAATTGAAGGGTAAAGTTATACTTTAAAAAAGCAGCTTCTGTGTGACAAAAAAAAACAACTGAGGACCAAATGATCTCACCTTGACCTCTGTTTTTTCTGTGCTCTCATCCAGCTCGTCCACTGCAGGATAATGTAACAACAAGCAGATTGCAGGATCAAACAGAAAAGAAATAGTTTTTGGTCAGTGAACTATTCCAGGTGAAGACGATTTATTTGCATAAATGTGTATTCAAAAAGTTAATTGTTCAACAATATGCATTACAACAAAATGCAATACAACAATGAAAAGGAAATTAAGTATTTCTCACATTCTTTGGTCACTGTTGAAACAGTCTGACATGTTGGACCACCGTCCTTCACTGCACCACTCTCCTCCATAGACTGATCAGTCATATTACTGCTGCTTTCATTGCTGACCTCTTTAACTTCATCAGCCTCTCCTGCTGAAGGGTCAAAGCCATCAAACATTACATATTAGTTGGAACAAACGCTAAAGGGTGCCTTGTGCATCTGTATGAAATGTAGAGGGAGCTTGACAAAACGTCAGTATTTGATGACCTGGGATTGAGAAATCGCAAAGTAACATGGTATGGCAAAATGAACACAAGGCAACAGTTGGGAGAGTACTGTATGATTACATTTATACAAGAACAACATACAAAATGTTGTTAAAGTAATTTTTTTGTATATTGGGTCATAAGAAAAATTGAATACTAACTTTCTGATGATGAACAACTGAATGATAGACATTTCTTTCCCCCAAAAAACATAATTGTAAGATATTATAATCATAAATAAATGTCTTATAAAATGATTATAATGTATTACCATGAGAATTATAACACACTATGATCCTGGCAAATAAATATCATTGAGTGATCAGCAATTATTAGTATTATGATACTTGACCTTATAAGTCATTATGAAATGCTTTATAATGTGTTGTATTGTTGTTATCAAGCATTGTGAATATTTATGAGTGCTTAAAACTATAAAAATACATTGTTATGAGCACAGTATAACATGTTATATTTATGTTTTTAACTCCATTTTATACTTGGGTATCACAAAAGTTTTAACAAAGAGGTATTTGCCAATATGACATGTGCATTCACTTTTCCACAAGATTGATCTCCTTTACCCAAATTTCTTTTTAAAATGACATTCTTCATTAAAACGTTACCTTTCTCAATGGTTGCAGATGGCACAGACTTGTTTTCAGACTCTCCTCCTGTCTTGTCTTCTTTCCTCACTGAGTCTTGAACATCTCCAGGTTCATTCACTGGATCACACTGAGAAAACAAATAAAAGGAAAGAAAAACAATAAGCACACTTCAGAGAGAAGAAAGTAAATTATTTTACCAATGTAATTTCAACTCATCCATTTGTGGTTTTGAGCTGTAAACTAAATGATATGACTATACTATAGACACATCAATGTGCTCCTTTTCAAATGTGTACTGATTGAGACACACCATTCATGAGCGTGTATGATAGTTTTTGCTAACCCTCTACTTTGTTTTGTTTTTACTTGCTAGGACTTGGCTGTAGACGGCTGTAGAAGCACCAGACTGGACAGTCTGTCATCACTCTGGCAAGCAGTTTGCATTTAGTTTTCAGTGACAGGGTCAAGAAAACAGCAACAACAGACCTGGATTGTAACAGTGTGGTGCCCGTGAGAATTACGTAGTGCAATGAAAGAACAGAAACAAACTCTGTTGCTCAGTCAGTTGACGAGGGAGAGTTTGCTGCCTGCTGCACTGTAAGCCCCACCACCACCCCAGCATCCACCTGTAGGTGTACCTGTCCGGCTAGGGGTTTAAGGTATTCTCTATATCTCTATGTAAACATATCTGTGGGGAGAGATGAGGTTGGAGCCTAGACGGCATCTAAGAATGCTATACTGATGTAATAAACATTTCAAATGTGAGTTTTCTGACTGAAGTAGTAATACAATATTTTGTTAAGATAAAAAGAAATATGAAACTTTATATTTGATTATTTACAATTGATTAACAGTTAACTTCATGCAAAAACTGATTAACAGCTAACTGTCTATTTGGGGGACAAAGATAAAATTTCTGCAAATCAGTCACATTTGTGCACAAATGTTTAAATTGAAATTCACCTGCACTTAGCTATGCCAAGCACATTTTATGTTGTAAAGTCTTAGTAAGTAAAAATAGTTCATAGGCCTAATGCATCTTTTTTTTCAGTGGCCTACTTTTATATTTGTTAAACACACCTGTTTTTTTTAAACCCTTAATACTAACATAAGTTTACTGTATTTGTACATATACCCATCTGTACATTATAACACATGAATTTGTAATTTGTTTCTTTTTGTATATTAAAAAATCTACCTGACATAGAATATAATTTGAACACTCATATTGTAATTTTTTACTCTATTGTGTTGATTAGTGTTTTGCAGGCTTTCTGTTTAAACTGCAGTAATCTCTTTTAATCTTATTTCTTTTCACATTTTCTTTTTTTTTTTTAATTTTTTGTTGGCCTTTTATTGGCTTTATTAGATAGTGACAGCTGAAGATAGACAGGAAAGGGGGAGAGATAGAGGGGATGACGCGCAGCAAAGGGCTGCAGGTTGGTACATGGTCATCAGCTTCACCATGTGAGCTAACCAGGTATCCATAGATAGGTTATATTTAAACAGAAATAATATATATTATATATAATCCAAACAGAATCAAAGACTGATTGTTGAATTGATGATTGATTGATGATGATTATTGAACATTGTACACAGGTACTACCTTGTGAAAGCTTCCTCCCAACTGTTACCAACAGACACATGTCTTGCATTTGTGAGGGGGAAACCATTGAACATGTATTTGTAGACTATTTTCATATAACTTCTTTTTAGTTAGATTTACACTGTTTTTTTTGAAAAAAAAGATATTTCATGAAAAGAAAACAGTCGGAGTGATGTAAGAGTATTGTGAAAGGTTTATATATTGCAGTTGGCTCAATATGTGTCATCACAGAGCATTCAGCTAAATGTGTTCTAAGTGTGGGTTTACTAAAGTAGGCTACTAATGGAAATTAATTTATTCATTTTATGTTTATGAAAGGGAAAATCCTACAGTTCATGGTCTGTTTTAAGATGCATTAACCCTTTATGGAATATCATTTATTTGAAGGAAAGAAATGCACAAATGCTATTGTTTAATTCTGTACCATCATTTAGCTTTGCCAATAAAAACAATTGTCTCTAGTCTCGATAGACTTGTATGGAGTACTGTTTTTTGTTTTGAACAGTTTGTTTATATAGTTAATGGTAACTGTTTATTGAGAAAAGTGAATAAGATACATATACAGGAAAGAAATAGAAATTATTATAACCAAATTTATCTATTCTATATGGCAACATGCAGATTGTTTTTGTTCCTGGACTACTACAGGTCATTTTAGAAAACAAATGCCCCTCTATATAATGATCATTCTGGAAGGTTTAAAAATAAATCTTACCTTTATTTCTGTTGCATTCTCCTCCAACTCTTCTACTGCAGGATCATTTTAGACAAAGCAGATTGTGCAATTGTATTAGCTAATCATCCTATGTATATTACATTCAGAAAATGTATGCAAAATCTGTTCAATGTCTTTTCTTCTGAAGGGCATTTTAGGGACACAATTTCAGACCTGGCATTAAAATCTCACCTGTTTGATTTTGCTGAAAAACAGATGAATCAATCCTTTCTTCTTTGTGGGATTTGTGTTGTAGATGTTCTTCCTGCTCTTTATATTTATTACACATCAGTCCAGTGTAGCAGTGTGGATCATTTTCAGAAACCATGACATCTATTTTTTCCAA